ACTGGTCCATGGTCTCATTCGGCCCGAATAACCACTCGATCACTCCTATACTACAGATTATATGCACTATGTTTTAGGGCTTTTTGATTACTAAAAAACGTCATAAATATTTTTGTTATAGCTACGATTTCTTACCGCTAGTTTTAACATATATTATTACCCTCATACATAAATTCCGATTCGACTCTACGTATACATTCTTTGCGCTTCATTTATTTTTTTTAAATAAAGCCACCCCACTCATTACAACCTGAAGTTTTATTTTTTAATCTGTAAAAAAAACTAAAAATATATCGAAAAAGTAAATAAATATATTTTTAAATACATCTGTAATGTCACCTCTATACATTGGAATATAAAAATGCTGTTTTTTTTAAATAAAGTATTTTTTAAATGCTGGAAATGGAAATGGCTTAACTTATTGGTTTAGTATTGCATTTTCACATATTTATAAGGTAATATGTATAGAGCTTCCATTACACTAAATAGTGCAAATGAAAAAAAAATGGAAAAAAAATCATTAAAAAAAAAACTATTGTGTCAGTTCAATTAAACAAGGTGTACAACACAGATGGGGTCGATCAGACCCCGTTTACATACAGGTTTTAACCCTTAAATGCAATTTATTTCTTTTGAGACATTATTGTATGAAAAATATAGTCCACTAGCTTCTAACTCCAACACTTTCTAACTTTCCATCGGAAATTCGATCAAAGACCATAGAATTAGAAAAAAAAACATGACATCAAAAAAAATTATAATAACATGAAAAGTCATTATTTTTGATTAAAAAAATGCGAAAAAATAAACATAATTTTATCTATCCCTCAATCGAACTCCCGACCGACGACCGAGACAACCGTTTTATAAATACTAAACCTACAGCACCTACCTAGCGTCCGTTATATCTATCCTACATACATTACCTCCTAAACTATTCACATACTAACATACAATTTACACGACTAAAAGTTATGGCTTCGCTAGCAATGTAATAATTGGCGTTAACATCAAAATCTGTTTATCTGTTGTGACTTTATGGAACATAGATTATTTTAAATAAAACTATCTTTTTGGATTTTTTCGAGGATTTATTTTGATTTTTAGTTCCCGACGTTTCGAATGCTTTACAGCAATCACCGTCACGGGAGAGACTGAGGTTTTAGACGTCTCAAAGATTATATATTATATAGTTGTTACAGACAGTGTCTATATGTCTGCCAACAAAAACCTTAGCCTCTCCCGTGACCATGTGCGCTGTAAAGCATTCGAAACGTCGGGAACCAAAAATCAAAATAAATTCGCGAAAAAAAAAACCGAAATATAGTTTTATTTAAAATGTCAAATATTCGCGTAAATCTAAGGAAGTTTAACATCGATCATATTTCAAAATATAACAGTTATAAGGTCTTAAGTTATTTTTTTTAATTAAAAATCGATTTGGACTTACTCGCTTAAAGCTTTTAGTTTTGTTTATTCCTAATTTTGTCATCTATTAATGTGTATATATTTTGCATTTTTGACAGCATTTTGAAATATTATCGATATTGTGTGACAATGTTTTTGTGACATATTAAAAAATCAACAATTCAATCGACTCATAAATAAGAAAATTATTTGTACTAGACTTAATTTTTTTTTCTGTTAAAGAAATAGTGTTATACCGTTTAAAAAAAAAACATTTTAATAATAGTAATAACAGTTCACATTCGAAAATATTCTTTTGTTTTTAATTGCAAGATGTATTTGTATTTTTTTTTTATAATTATTTCTCTAAAATAGCTAAAATTAAACTAGAAAAATATGACACGGATTACTAGAATGGGTCTCTAAATTTACGTTTCTTTCTTATATTTTTTAATTCCTATTTAGATGAGTCGATTAATTTGTATTGAAACAGAGTTTTTGAGTTTTTAAATCATATACAGGATGGTGAGTTAGGATGAGATCTTGTAATTAAAAAAAAACAACGAAATTTATAATAAATCCTAACACACCATTCTGTATATTAAAAAGTTATAAATATTCTTATTTTTCTATATTTTTAAGAATACAGTTTAAATTTAAATTGGTGTTTTGTCTTTTATCTGTAGAATCAGATTTATAGATTTTTTTTTTCAAATATGGAGCTTTGAGAGTTTTTGGAAAAATCGATATCCGCAATGTCAAATTGAATATTTTTATTTATTTTTTGGCCAAGGATAAAATAATAAAAAAGTAACAAAATGGAGAAGACAAAAAAATGACGCATATAATAAATATTTTCAAAATAATTTATGCACAATGACGTCACAATCCCTTTTTTAATACTTTAATAATTATAATTTTTAAATAATAATATACAATGGCACAACTTTTGAAATAATCGTATTTATATCACAAAAAAAAAGCATTTCCTTTACCTTTTGTGCAATTTAAATAAAAAAAAGCTTTAAAGTATCAAAAACGCTTAAAAATATTTTTTGTAAAAATAAATTACAAAATTTTCCACATACACATGAAATATATCCTGGTGGGTCATTTTTGCGACCATCCAATGGTCCATATAAGTATACGACCCAGAACTGACCCAATTTTACGATTTAAACTATGGACCAAAATCGGTCCATACACATTATTACATTATGAGGCCTAAAATATTACATCACTATTTTAAATTCAAATGGACCAACACTAGATTATATTTTCACTACAGGTCCAATAGTTCTAACTTCGGGTAAGGCAAAAGTAAAACTCAATAAGTGCTATTTTAACCAGAATTGACTTTTTTTAATAAATTTGTTTCTGATACGATTGAAAAATATTTATTTTAATTATTTATTCCATTTATACAACATATTATGTCATTAAATAAAACTTTATTTATAAATATTGCTATAAGCAAAAACTTACTGAATTTCACCTTTAGCCCACTAAACATATCTGTGTAGAGGACCAAAACAGGTCCACAATTCCAAATTCATTTCACATTTACCCTACTATATTTCCAAAGTTTCATTTAAATTGGGCCAGAACCGATCCATCCGACGAATACCAACACTGGTCCATTCATGGGCCACACATGGTCCATTCTCATACGACAGCTACGATTAATTATACAATGTATATAGTTTATAACATTTAATACGTACGTAAACTCCTATAATTATTTGGCAGTGACGGACCGTTCATAGTCTTGTCCTGAAAATTAAAAAAAAAAGGAAAAATATTAAAAAAAGCAAATACATTATATAGATATGTATTTGTGTATGTAGTAGTATGTACATATGTTATGGTATATAATATGTATAATGTTTTGTTATATGTATATCTTTATATATATAATTCTTCTGTGAGTGTGTATGTCACTGAACTTCTCTCAAACGACTGGACCGATTTTGATGAAATTTTTTGTGTGTGTTCAAGGGGATCTGGGAATGGTTTACATTCACAATTTGAATAATAATTTTCATCAAAAAAATTATTAAAAAAAGTTTGAAATTTTCAAATTAAAGACGTGTAGACAGGACAACGTCTGTCGGGTCCGCTAGTATAATATATATTTATTTAAGTATTTACATTTGAGTTACTGCACTTTAGCTTGCATTTTAATACTATCTCTCTAACTCACTTAGGTGGACTGGAAGAGATCTCTTCTAGAGATAAGTCCACCTTTGCTAACTAATTTTATTGTTTGTTACTCTCTGTATTTTACATATAAGTGCAATAAAGAATAGTATATATACTTATTTATTGGGAACATTTATAGATTAAAGCTTGAATTATCAAATACTAGCATTGCCCGCGGCTCCGCCCGCGTTCAGATGACCAAAAACTAAATTCTTAGGTGTTACATATTAGTATACTCTTACATTGCAGTTTTTGTATTTTTCCTCAGAAATAAGATATTTTCCCGCGGTAAAAAGTATCCTAGGATCGCGCGCTACATCGCCCGGTTTATATAGCTTGAGCAGGCGGTCGAGCGATGCGGGGCAGAGGGGATGGACTCGCCGTAGGCATCTCAATGCTCGCCAAGCATTAAAAATGTTTCGCTACTAATTACTTCTAACAACGATATCTCAAAAACTATTCATCTGATTGATTTAGTGTAAAGAGCAATTTTAATCTGCATTAAATGACTAAGCTAACTAAAATATTCATTTGGATAAGGATTAATACCGAACTAAAGAAAATAACTTTGAAAATAACGTAATGTTTTTAATTAAAAATGTTAACATAAAAGTGGTTATTGTAAGTCAACCGTAAGAGATAGAGATATGCTATCGCGGACTTTTTTGTAGCATTTTTATAGATTTTGAATTCTCTAGTACATTACTTAACTGTATCTTTGCTAGTTTACGCGGCGTTCGCGTGGAAAGTTCCCATTTGGCGAGATTTTTTGCGACCTCTTCAACATTTGTCGCCGTATTTCAGCTAATTTACATAAAAGCATAATAAATTATATACCTAAACCTTCCTCAAGAATTACTCTTTCTATTGTTGAAAACCGTATAAAAATCCGTTCAGTAGTTTTCGAGTTTATCGCGTACAGACAGACAGGAGGACAGACAGGAGGACAGAAAGACGCGGCCGGGGGACTTATTTTTATAATAAGTATAGATTATATTTGTCTTACGGTGAAGGAAAACATCGTGAGGAAACCTGCATGTCTGAGAGAACCTAGCAAGTTTTCAAAACACATGCTCAGTCCGCCCGCACTTGTTTGACGTAACGTTTGGCTCAGTTTGTAGTGATCCTACTTGCTGTGCTAGCGGTCACGGATTTGAGTCCCGTTGGTGGCATTCGTTTGTATGATGAGCACGAATGTTAGTACTCCAGTCATGGGTGTATATATTTATAATATGTATGTATTTAAAGTTATATATGTGTAGTGAATCAACTATCTGGTATCTATAACACAGGCCTCGTAGCTAACCATGGAACCAGATGGCGCTGTGTGTTAATGTCCCGACATATTTATTTATTTATATTATCATACCGTTATCATTGTCATACCGTTATAGGAAGAGCACGGGCCTGTCGTTGGCGCGGTCGGAGCCGCTGGAGTGCGAGTGCGAGCGGCGCGCGCCCTCCGCGCCGCCGGACCCGCTCGACGTGGACTTCACCTCGTTCTCGCGCGCCGCCCCCGCCGCTGTGGCACATAAACAATATTAATTATATATATACATTGCTTCCCCATACAAACTTTCATCCCCATTTTCAACCCTTAAGGAATGATTTCCGGGATAAAAAGTATCCTGTCTTTCCCAGGGTTTCAAACTATCTTCTTACCAAATTTCATCTAAATCGGTTCAGTAGTTTCAGAGCCTATTCGGTACAAACAAACAAACTTACAAAAAATAAATCTTTAGTCTTTATAATATTTATTATATTACTAACAGAACCCGAGGTAGTTTCATACAAACGTTCATCCCCTATTTTATAAGAGGTTATAGGATGAATTTTGAAAAATTCTAAGACACGTATTTATTTAATTTTATTGAAAAGTATATGAGTATATACCAAGTTTCAAGTAATTCTGATAATAAATATTTTTTTGGATTGTATTATAACGTGTTTTTCCTTGGAAATTAAGTAATTACCCGCGATAAAAAGTAGCCTATGTCACTCTCCAGCCCTCCAACTATCTCCAGTATAACTTCAAAAAGCAAAAAAAAAACATAATGATAGCATACCGGCAGGCTCCTTGGCGGTGAGGTGGTCGGAGCCCGCGCTGGAGCCCCCGCTGCCCGACAGCACGCTCTCCTCTCTGTTGTATCTGAAATTATATTGTATACTAGCAGAACCCGCGACTTAACTCGCGTTAAAACTACAAATAAATCTCTAAAAAGGTAATTTCATACAAAATTCCATCCCATATTTTACCCCCTTATAGGATGAATTTCAAAAAAATGCTAAAACACGTATTTATTTAATTTTATTGAAGAGAATTCATACCGAGTTTCAAGTAATTCTGATCATAAATATTTTTTTGCATTGTATTATAACGAGTTATCCCGTGGGAATTAGATAAACTCCCGCGGTAAATAGTAGCCTATGTCACTCTCCAGCCCTCCAACTATCTCCACAGAACAAATCACGCCAATCCGTCACTCCGTTTCGACGTGAAAGAAGGACAGACAAACAAACAAACAAACTTTCACATTTATAATATTAGTATAGATATTGTTAGCTGTCTATCCCAAAATAAGAGGCAGTTACGAGTAACAATCCATATATAAGACGGTGAAAACCAACGCCTCGCCCTCTTCTCTGGTCAAAAGTCGTACGCTCGTACACTCGGGAGATATCAATTTAGAAAACCGTATTTCGAAATTGTCACTATCTGAATTTATTTTCTTTTGTATAAATTTATATCATTGTTTTGGTAATAATTATATATTTACTAGCGACTCACCCTCGCTCCGCTCGGGTTCGTCCCTGGGATGGGGTCTGGGAGGACCACCCTTATCCTTATCACTTAGGGGTATGGAAAATAGATAGTAGCCGATTCTCAGACCTACTGAATACGCATATAAAATTTGGTAAAAATCGGTAAAGCCGTTTCGGAGGAGTACGGTAACAAACATTGTGACATGGAAATTTTATATATAAGAAGATATATTTTTAAATTAAATTTACTTTTAAATGATAAAGATATATATAACAAGCGACTCACCCACGCTTCGCTCGGGTTCGTCCCTAAGTCAGTCAATCCCCATACAAACTTTCAACCCTATTTTCACCCCCTTAAGGGATGGGCTTCAAACTATCTTCTTACCAAATTTTATCTAAATCGTCACCACAAGGTAAGCTACACTACCCGTAACAGAAACACTATATCACCATATTAACTTTACCCAGGATTCGAACTTAGATCCACCATGTCTGACCGTACACGTCAACCACTGAACCATGGGGCACTCACCCGTATATGGTGTGCTCGCTGGTGACACAGGAGGAGTACTTGAAGGGTATCGGCTGGTAACCGTACGAGCCCGCGTACGGCATATATCCGGGGCCCATCATGCTGGAAAAATAGATATATGTATATATATACACATTGATTTATATATAATTAAATATAAAAAGAAGAATAAAAAAAAAAGTTTTTTTTAATACAAAAAAAGAGTTTATATATACAATACTTATAAAAACTCCATTATTTAAGTTGCAAAAAATAAAAGCTGGATATAATATATTTATATACATACATTGATAGTTGATATTTATTAAATAATACATGGGGCATTTCACGTGTATCAATTTGTAAAAATATCTAAAAAATATCGTTTCTGAAAGTTAAAAGGATGCAGTTTGTAATTTTTTTATCGAATTACAAATTTGTTTCTTTTTACGTATAATAAACCGGAAGTGAAGATTTCAAATGGATGTTTGAGTAATTTCGACATAATTTCTATGGTTATGGACATAATTCTTCTTCGTAAATTTTTAAAAGCTCATAACTCGGCAATAAAGCATCATATGAAAAAAATAATATATTTGCACCTCCATGTCCACTAGAACTATAATACAAGTGGTAATAATGTTGAAAAATGATTCGCACATAAAAATATCAAGAGGTGCAAGACCCGGGATTTGAACTCGCTTCACTCAGTTCACAACATTACCACTGGACCACTCCTACTAGGAGGCCCGTTCCAATCCCAGCAGTGCGACGTTAAAAATGGCTGTATACATACATATTTTGATTTGAATTTTGATCTCCACATATGTGTATATGTGTATCGTGTGTCTATATGACCCCCCTCTCCCCCTACTCATTTGGGATTGGGCAAGGGCACACGTGTGGGAGGCGAGGCTGTCCTGGTCATGTCGTCCTGTGTGTGGGTGTGTGTGTATGTCTCTTTCTCTATGTCTGTGTGTGTGTGTGTGTGTCCGTACGTGTGTCCCACTCACTTGGGGTTGGGCAGCGGCGCGAGCGTGTCGGAGGCGAGGCTGTCCTGGTCGGGCGCGCGCAGGCGCAGCGCGGCCAGCTCGGCGCACAGCTCGCCCGCCACGTAGTAGCACTGCTCGGAGAACGTGATCTTGTTCACCGTGTGCCTTATGAAACCAGCCTGGAATTGTAACCATTGGGTTTTAGTGACACCGTCTAATTCTATACTAATATTATAAAGAAACAGAGTTTGTTTGAACGCGCTAATCTCAGAAACTACTATTCAATTTGAAAACTTCTTTTATAAGGGGTCAACCAATCATGCAGGCTTCCATACATTATTACTAATAGCATACAGCCAAAGTTCTTTTTTTGTAGTTTTAATACGTCCAAATCGCATGAGTCTTCACATTGTAATCTCCAAAAAAAAAGAAGAGTGAAAGAGATGAAAGATGACAAGGAACGAAGAGTAACAGATACCAAGATATCTTCAGTATATGCGAAGAATATTTCCAAATAACCTTATTATTGCCTTCTCCAAAAAAGACAAGACGAAAAGGAGATGGAAGATGACAAAGACCAAATTATTTTCAGCATATGAGAGGCATTCTAAAATGTGCTATCTTCTCCAAAAAAAAAAAGCAGAGAAGTTAGAGAAGCAGAAGATGAAGATCAGGATATGTTGCGCATATGGGAAGCGTACTTTTTCGCTTCCCGGTGGTCCACTATCTTTTCCAAAATAGAGGAGTGAGAGAGTTAGAAGAAGACAAAGAACAAGGAGTAAGAGAGACAGAAGATGGTGAACAAGATACCTTGAGCATGTGCGAGGCGTACTTCCTCGCGTCCCTACGGTCCACTATCCCGGCGACGTGCTGCAGGATCCAGTCGACCACGTCGGCGCCGATGAACGCGTTCGGGATAGTAATCTTCAGCCACATCCTATCCCGGATCTCTAGTCCTGGGGATTCGGATATACACTGTTAGATGATATAGTCGAGTTTTTTTTTTTATATTTACATCATTTTAAATTAATGTACATCTTCTATACATATAATAAAATTTAGAGTCGAATCTGTAAATAATCTTAAAAGATAGTTTTATTAAAAATGTCGAATCTGTATATTATATATTATTTCGAAAATCTTATTGAAATAATCATTATTATCGATACAGAGTCCGAATCTATAGTTTTTTGAATTTTTGTCTGTCTGTCTGGGAACGCATCACGATCAAACCACTGGATAGATTTTGATGAAATTTGGTATGATGATAGGTAGTTATCCGGGTCAACATAAAGGATGCTTTTTACTGCGGGAAAATATCTCATCTCTGAGAAATTTATAGTAACCGTCAAACCGTATTCAGGAACGAACCCGAGCGGAGCGAGGGTGAGTCGATAGTTTAATATAATATGTATACATATTTGGATTTTGTGTGGATAGAAAAGGTACTAAGTAAGTTTTTAACATGTAGATTTATGAAATTAAAAAATACTTGATATATTTCTGGAAACTGATCGAAAATCAAGGAGACTTAGTATGAAATGAACAAACAGACAAAAAAAATGTAATGAACTGTTTTTTTGTAATATTATAAATGTGAAAGTTTAGATGTTTGGTTGTTTGTTACTCAATCACGCCGGAACGGATGTGGATGAAATTTGGCACAGAGATAGATTAGTCTGGAATAGCACATAGATTACTTTTTATTTCGGAAAAATGTACGGTTCCCGTGGGATAGATTTATTTTTGTTTTTAATTAAAAAATATTTAAAACTAAAAAACAAAAGAAGAACAAACTTACCAGAATCCGGCCTCAACATGGCCCTGACCACCAACGCCATGTCCATACCCACAGACAGTTGGGGCTCCGCTGGGAGTGAGCCTGCATCTGATCCTCTCTCCGGTATGGAAGCAGCTGGGAGGGTTGACAGGGGTGGGGGCGGGTAGGCCTCCCGGAGGGCCTGGGTGTGAGCTACCCATGCACCTGTAGCAATATGAGATTAAATCTGACAATTTTTTTAAGAAAATACAACATATTATTAGAAATTTAAAATGTATGTATGTGTGTATGTTAAAGTGTGTTTATTATTGTCCCGTTGAGCCGGCTGGACCGTTTCGGATTAATTTTAACACACAGATAGACTTTGATAAGTCATGGGCACCTAGGGACGCCATCCGAGCAAAGTATAATCGTTAGTATACTTACATAATATATACTAATTACTAGCGACTCACACTCGCTTCGCTCGGGTTCGTCCCGCGCTTGTTTCCCAATAAAAACTTTCATCCCCATTTTGACCCCATTAAGGGTTGATTTCGGGGATAAAACGTCATCTGTCCTTCCCAGGGTCTCAAACTATCTTCTTACCAAATTTCATCTAAATCCAGAGATTACCCCCTACAACGTCACAAACTCACAATCTCATAAACTTTACCTCTTTATAATATCAGTATAGATAATATTAATATCCCATGAAGACTACGTAATATTTTGGAGATTTAATATTTTTCGTCAAAAATCGCCATGAACTATATAAAAAGTTAATAAAATCCTAATAAATGACGTTTTGAAACTAGACACCATAGCTTTCTAACCGCATACGCTTTCCTTCCACAAAGAACAAAGTATCGTTTCAAATCACTCCCCATTTTTACCCGACTACGCGACGGAAAGGAGTTAAATGTGTTTATCCGTATGTGTGTTTGTTCCTATATGGCATTCTAGAGACCAAACGTGTGGGCCGATTTTGAAGATTCATATATAGTTAAGATTCGTCTTTATAACGCGAGTGTTATAGGCTATAAAAAAAATAGTTAAAAAATTAAAATGACGAATTTCAGGCGCCGATTCATGTGTCTTTAAATAAAACTTCTAAACTAATTGAGTGGGGTATAAAAATAAATGTTTTTAAGACTCGATCGCAAAAATATATATAAAATCATATATTTAAAAATAATTTAGGATAAAAAAATTGGTAAATATAACTTCAAATGTCTAATTGGCAAAAACTAAAAAGCTCTAAATAAAAAAAATCTATACATATAATAAAATTGTAACAAAGCCAAATCTGTACATTCAATATTTTTCGGAAAATCTTATTGAAATATACATTATTATCGATACAGAGGCCGAATGTATAGTTTTTAGAATTTTTGTCTGTCTGTCTGTTACCGCATCACAGAAAAACTACTGGACGGATTTTGATAAAATTTAGTATGGTCATAGCTGATTATCCAGGTCAACATATAGCATACTTTTTACCGCGGAAAAATATCTCATTTCTGAGAAAAAATACAGAAAATGTAATATAAGAGTATACTAATATGTAAAACCTAAGAATTTGGTTTTTGGTCATCCGAATGCGGGCGGAGCCGCGGGCAATGCTAGTATATTAAAATAAAAAACCTGACAGCATAAAAGCTAACTGAAAACAAGTTGATGAAAGGAATATAGTATAATGCAGTCGGAGACATACACAATATGTACACTGTAAATCTCGCAGCAAGGACGTGTATATCTCCAATGGATAAATGGCGAATTTTGTATAGTATATTTGCAAATCTATCCCAAAATCCCAGGTTCATCCTGGACTTTGGGTGCAGAACCCTAAAAGATACACTGTGAACCTTACCAGGGTCTATAGGCCTGACCGGTTCCGTCCTGGGTATGGTGAAGTAGCCTTTGGGGTTTGGATCCCAGCATTTGGCCACCACCAACTTAATGGGACCAGGTTTTTGGACAACCTCCCGAAGAACTCTGACTGCTTCATCGTTTGTCATATCTTCAAAATTGACGTCGTTGACCTGAAATGATTTATTAGGAATGTTAGAAGATATATTAAACTAGCGACTCATCCTCGTTCAGTTTGGGTTCGTCCCTACTTATGCACATTTTAACGTTCAGTAATGACTATTTCAATAAGATTTTCAAAAAAATATTTAATATGTATACAGATTCGACTCAATTAAAATTTTATCATATGTATAAATTATCTTTATTTGGCTTTATTTTAAGTCTATATAATATATTTATTTAATAATTACTATGAAATATTTAAATAATACATAATTGAAAAATATTTACATATCTTTACAAGCAGACAGCCTTACTATGCTTCAGTAACAACTATATCCTCTTAGCCAATGAAATTCTTTAAAAATTTTAAAAATTCAAATATTGAATTTGGACTTCTAAGATTAGTATGGAGACACAAACAGACAACAGCATTTTTTGGACTTTGATATCATATTTCCAATACACAGACACTCAAGTAATAATTATATAATACTAGCGACCTACCATAGCTTCGCTCAAGTGAGTCCCTAGGAAAGTTTTAATTTTTTTGAGTGAAACCACAAACCTTTTTCTAAAATATAAATAGCCTGAGTTACTTCTTATAACATGAGCTATCTGCAAGTGAAAGTCCCGTTAAAATCGGTCCAGCCGTTTCAGAGATTAGCCGTAATAAACAGACAAAGAGACAAAACTTATTGAGTGTTTCTTTTAAGTACCATATATAATTTCATATGCATTTAGTAAAAAGCTATTATTGTGACATTACAAACAGACACTTCAATTTTATTTATCCGTACAGATTTAAAACATATCATCTCAACTTTCTGTTTAAAAAACATAATTAATGATGTTTATACAAGATGAGGTGACATAGATCATGTGGTGTACTCATATTTAATTAGTATTTTATTATGTCAGTCCTCTGTGAGAGTTATTTTTACATATAAAACTAGCGGCTCACCCTCATTTCGTTCGGGTTCGACCCTAGGTATGATGAGTTGTTGTGGATTGTATTATAACGTGGTTTCCCATGGGAATGAGATAATCTCCTACAGTAAAAAGTAACCTATGTCACTCTCCAGCCTTCCAACTATCTCCACACAAAAAATCACACCAATCTGTCCCTCTGTTTAGATGTGAAAGTAGGACAAACAAACAAACACACTTTTACATTTTTAATATAGATTATTGTACTAATATTATAAATGTGAAAGTTTGGATGTTTGTTACTCAATCACACCAAAACAGCTGAATGGACATAGATGAAATTTCACACACCGATAGATTATAGTCTGGAACAGCACATATGTTATTTTTTATCCCAGAAAAATGTACAGTTCCCGTAGGATTGTTTTCTTTTTGGTTTCTCTAGAGGCGAACTGAAGCTAAGCGAGAGTGAGCCACTAGTTATATTATAAATTAGATTTCTAAGTATTAGAATTTGTTTCTAATGTGAAATTTATATTTCAGACAAATCATTGACATAAAAATATTTAAAAGAATCCTGCATCATGAATTGATATATTTATTTTTTATTTTCTCTTTTATTAATTTTTTCTTACAATTTATGTTTTATTGTAACATACACAAAATTGGAGGTTTTCTTACTACTATTTGACTATTTAGAATTTTCAAAATAACCATACAATCTTATTTACCTGTAATATCATGTCACCAGGTTCAATCCTGCCGTCCAAAGCAACTGCCCCACCCTTCATGATACTCCCCACATATATTCCACCATCACCACCTTTATTTGACTGTCCCACAATAGAAATACCCAGGAAATTCACTGTATCCATATTTAATGTCACTGTTATAATATGCATCGACATAGTTGAATCTGTAATGGAGGAATAGGAAGACGTTCTTGACATAACCTGGGGTCGTTTTCGCCGTCTTTGAGGTCTCTTCCTTGAACTCACTTGTAAATGTGAGACACTACTGCACTCAGTTAGGGCTCTGTCGACTGAAGCGTTTGTGTGTCGGCCAGTGGTAGTTGTAATTTCAGATTGGCTGTCAAACAAGCTGGTGGAGTCCAAGTCTGAACTGAGGACTGATGCTGTCTCGTATTCAAGACCATGGTTTCCATATTTTGAATGACCATTGATTCTTAAGCCTCTGTATTTATATTTGTCACAGGAAGCCCTATGCCCCGGTCGGGAGCTTATCGTGCTGTCTGTATCAGTACAGGTGTCTCTCGTCAGAGGTGCTGTTGGAGCACCATGAATGTTTTGCTTAGCTTTCCCAGCGTTACTATCAGTACACTGTGAAGCGCCATCCGATGGATTTGAACCCTCCGCAGAAACTAACCAAGACACGACACGACCATTAAAACACGGCAGATGAGCGTTATCATCAACAATTTCTTCTTTAACAACACCAAAATCATCGTCCATGGATTTGAAAAAAAACTTGTAATTCGGCCTGTTCAATTGATTTTTAAAGTCCAACAAAGTCACTTTTTCTGGTGATATCGGTATCTTCACCAAATACGGCGTCTCCTCATCGTCTATATAATAAATAACTTTTGTCTCCTCCATTTTAAAACATTTATTATTGAAAACTAACAACACCCTTACGATCTATAAATATCGGCCGCCATCACAAGTGCTCGAGAAATTACTTCGTTCAATGACTGTTCGAGGCGCCACCATCGGTTTATAAAATTATCTACCTTTTCCTATTCCTGCGATATAAAATCACATGTTTTAAGTAAAAGCACGATTATATAAATTATAATAAATTACAGTATTAATGTTGCTCTACAAATCTCTTCTCGTTGATTACTTAGATTAATTTATAAGAATATATGGTCACTTATCTCTTTATCAGTGATAAGATTTTAGATATATTTGCGCATGCAATCAAAAATGCACAATAATTTTTGTTACAGCCATTATTTTTCTATAATTTGAATTCATTTTATAATATTTGTTGAATTACGCAATCGACAGGTATAAATAAAACTATCGATATAAACATCACTAGTGTTTCAGACACTGCTAAGTTTTATGTTAGACAAAATTATATTAAATACTAGCTAGCTAGAGAAACACTAATAGAGATCTAATAGTTCCCACGGGAACCGTTCATTTTTCCCAAAAAAAATTTCATACAAACTTTCATCCCTTATTTTACCCCCTTATAGGATGAACTTTGAAAAATGCTAAGACACGTATTTATTTAATTTTATTGAAGAGCATTAATACAAGTTTCAAGTAATTCTGATAGTAAATATATATTTTTTTGGATTGTATTATAACGTGTTTTCCCGTGGGAATTGAGTAATCTCCCGCGATTAAAAGTAGCCTATGTCTCTCTCCAGCCCTCCAACTATCTTCACACAAAAAAATCACGCCAATCCGTTACTCCATTTCGACGTGAAAGATGGACAAACAAACATACTTTCACATTTATAATATTAACACCTCCAAGTAAATTACTAAAAAAAATACTAATTAACATTCTAAGAAATCTATTGTGTATATAATATAAAGGTGAAAATATAACTGACACGCTGGCGTGTCAGTTATATTTTTACATTTATATTATTAGCACCTCCAGGTAAATTTCTAAGAAATTAATTAAAATTCTAAGAAATCTATTGTTAACTGACACGCCGGCGTGTCCGCGGTCGTTGAAATATTAATATGGATGTAGACTAAAGCTTCAAATGTATAACTCGCGTCATCTAAAAAAAACGCTGGAAGAAAGTGGAGAGGGTATGTTTGCGCATGGGTATACTCGCGCACAAAAGTACTAAGCCTGTTATTTTATTTTTCATAGCACTTCGCTCGCGGCTTCATATATTAGTTATTGGTAGGAACATTGAAAAATATATTAGATAGAATATCATTAAATAAAATTCTATTCATTATTAAAATATGTTTGATTCAGTGCAAAATGTTTTATCTACTTACAAAAAATTAAATTAATACGTTTAATACATTTTTTTTATTATTGACTGCATTATTATTAGACTCTCTCTTTGTAAAAAAATATACATTAAAAACAATTTTTCTCTTTTCTATATATAAAACCATTTCGTAATTAAAAACTTTTGTGTGCGCGATGGTATTTCGAACTGACGAACCAATAGCGCGCCGGCAAGCATGCGGCCCGTTCCCCGCTGCCCCGCGCCCCGCTTCTTACCACCAATTTGACCGATAAATCGCTTCTGTGCAGCTTGACAGCCAGCGTTCTATTTAGATGACGCGAGTTATAGTAAAACATTAGAGATATTTATAATATAATACCATAAATATGGGAAAAGTCTGGTGCTGGCAACATTTAATTATCAAATTTTTTTACGACAGTACTTTGGCAGTTTAAAAAGTGTTTAGTTTCATGATATTATTGGTATCGTGTAAGTTTTACTGAGGCACTGAACAAAAGAATTAATTTAAATAAAGCTATAATACTTTTCTTTCATACAATTTTTTACTGTAAATTAATAACTTTTATTAATAATCAACCTATTTGAATTATTGTAATTGTTATTTTATTTTTATTTGCTCTATATTTGATGATATGCGTATTTTTATCCGTCAATAGAAATATCTATTCTGAAAAATATATTTAGTTTGAACTATAATATATGTAATAATAGTATAAATTATTATGCAGTTTTTATCATGAATGGCTGTCTTTAATTATTTAACTGTGCCTTATGACAGACCATATATTTTGGTATAATTACCTTACCTATATTTTTTTTTATATATCTGTGCTTTAAATTCAAATTCAAAAATAATCGTTGTTTCGTGTTTGTGTTTAGTTTTAATTTTACAATACTTTATTTTCAATTGTATTGAGAATTGAAAATTTGTTAAATAATAAATGATGACTTCTCTTGAAATGGAACCCTGGTGTCTGCGTATTTGCCAAGAATTCGATGAGTTTTGTGTTAAAGTTGAAGGTAAATATTATTACTAAATAATAAATATTTGGTTGTTTGTTTTTGAATAGATTACGGGTAATTTAAGTTATTTAGCGTTAAAGATGGCTTATTTATGTAAATAAAGATTACATTAAAAACTTATTGAAATATTAAAATTAAATTAAAGAATATTATACAACAAATATTTATTTCAATAATTTCAGATAAAATTAATAAACAGCAGCAACAGTTAAAGGCATGTAGAAAAATAACTGAACTCAAAAATAAGTTGGCTCTAGAAGAAAAATTAAAAGTAAGTACCAATGATATAAATTATGGTAATAAAAATCTTATTTTAAACTAGCACTGCCCGCGGCTCCGCCCGCGTTCAGATAATCAAAAACCAAATTCTTAGGTTTTACATATTACTATAGTCTTACAATGTAGTTTTTGTATTTTTTCTCAGAAATTAGATATTTTCCCGCGGTAAAAAGTATCCTATATGTTGACCCGGATAACCAGCTATCATCATACCAAATTTCATCAAAATCCATCCAGTGGTTTTTCTGTGATGTGGTAACAGACAGACAGACAAAAATTCTAAAAACTATAGATTCGGCCTCTGTATCGATAATAATGTTTATTTAAATAAGATTTTCCAAAAAATATTTAATTTACAGGTTCAGCTCAGTTACATAATGTAATTTTTAATATATGATTTTATCATATTAACTGTCTATTTCACAGCACTATATGGTTGAACCACATTAATTTTCAAAATATCTTTTGTAATTGTGACACAAAGTGGATTTCTATATATAATTATTTGATAAATAAAATTAAATATATACTTTCAGAAAGAATTAACACAGCAACTAGCAGAACTGTCCCGTCGAGATGGTGAGTTAGAAAGAGTTTGTGCATCATTTGAGTCTCGGCTGACAATTGCTGACAGTGATCAAACCAGATTAGACAATGCAAAGTAAGTATATCGATTTCTCCTAAAAAACCTCCCTATATTAGCTTGAACTTATCTATACTACTATTACTACTAGAAAAAAATATTTTTTTGTATATTTATATATTTGTTTGTAATGGATAAACTAAAAATCTGCTGAAGCGATTTAGCTGAAATTTCGTATGAAGATAGTTTAGAGACCCTGGGAAGGACATAGGGTTGTTTTTATCCTGGAAATCATCCTGTTAGGCGGTGTAAAGGGGCATGAAACTTTGTATAGGAAATCAATAATTCCTTAAGTAATGTATATATAAAACTTATCATACCTATGAATATATACTTATGTATGTAAATATAATATACTATATCTATTCCATACAAACCATTAAAATGTACCTAGGGATGAGCCCGAGCAAAGCGAGGGTGAGTCACTAGTTGTAATATTATATAGACAACTAAGCATAATATTATAAATGTTCTGGGTCATTATGAAACAAATTTTTAATTTATTTTTTTCAGGGAATTGTATCAGTTGGCAAAAGAGCTGACTGGTATTCGTCTTGACTTCAGCGCCCCACCAAATATTGCCAAAGGCTGTATCCTTTTATAGTTTACAAATTTTTCGAAAAAAAATAATTATAAGCTACTATCATGGGGTTTATTTCAATTTCCATGGGATACAGTGTGTCTTAAAATTAATTAAAAATTTAAACTTGCTTTACTCGGACATCCTAAATATCTAACTGGCCTATGTCTTATTCCAGGTTATATTCTACCTGTGCTCTAAACTTCACTTTTGAGAGTTGTTCATATGAATCCGTGGCCATGGGTCCGTTTTAAAATATCTTCTTGTTAAAAAAAAAACAGGCACCTAAAGTGTAAAGACAAATTGAATGGAACAAGGAAAATTGTAAATTAACATATACATAGATTTTATTATGAATTATAGTGAATTACCCTTGCCTTGCTCGGGTGCATCCGTAGGTACGTTTGAATTTTTTTGAGCGGAACCGTAATTCTTTTCCTAATTGAAAGTCCTGTTAAAATCGGTCCAGCCGTTTCAAAGATTAGCCGGAAACAACAGACAGGCAGACAAAATTTTTAAAAGTTGTGTATTTTTTATAAGTACCATATATAATTTCATATGCATTTAATTTCAATTTTATTTATCCATATATCCTAAACAAAAAAATCAGTTATCAAAAACAAAGCCCGCAGATTGCTATTGCCATTCTCTATGGAGATAGACAGTGATGCTTTATGGGAGCTCATGAGGACCACCGCAGACCCTACATGGCCAGATAAAGAGAATCATAAGCCTAATTAGTATATATTTAAATTTTCACAGATTTACATAGTTTAAATTTAACTATTTTTTAGGATTTTATGCAAGATTTCAAATGATTTACAGCAATCATGGTCATGGAAGATGTTTGTTTTAAAACATTCGAAATATTGGGCACCAAAAATAAAAATAGATTCGCGAAAAGATAGTTTTATTTAGTAGTTGTTTGTTTATTGTATTAAAATTACTTTTAAATTTTTGTTTTGTTTTTTAGTAGCAAAGCCTTTGAGCTCCTCTCTCTCTCAACCATGATATGTATTCGAACTTTTTTATGGAAGCTTAGTTATTTAACCGCCATTTTTGTTTTCAAAATATCGATGTACGATGAAGCTTGTATGTAGACCAGTGGTGGGCAAACTTTTTTAATGGGGGACCACAAAGTTTAAGAAATTATAGAGGAGGAATTATAGAAAAAATGAATTTTGTGTTAAAGCTTTTAATCAAAATATTATAAAAATATCAATGAAAGTTAGTTATTTGTTCAGTTATTCGATGATTGAACAATCTGCCCTAAGTAGAATGTACTTTATACTTCTCGACCGTCAAAACGTAATTATAGCGGTCCAATACTATCCATGTCGATGGACCCTCGGCGGGCCGGACTAAATACTTTCGCGGGCCGTACTTTGCCCATCACTGATTTAGACTATGGTACTGTATACTAGGGGTAACTGCCTCGGTGGTGTAGTGGCTAGCATGTACGGCCGGGCCAAGTTTAGTTATTGAGTCTTTCTGTATAGTAAGTCTTAGTAATAGCCCGGAGTTGGGAAGTTGGCGGTGTTTCACCCCCGTGCCTCGGAGAACACGTAAAGCAGTCGGTCCTGCGCTGACACTCTCACCGGTCGTGTCGAGCAGTCATCCCACCGGAGTATGAGAGTGAAAGGAATAGAGAGTGCACGTTGTGTCTCACACGCGCTGCACTATAATATCTCCTGCGCAGTTGGCTAGTCTCAATGAGATTGGCCGCCGTGGCCGGAATCGGTCAGGAGAACATCATCATCATTCTAGGGGTAGAGTATGGTACTTTAACAAGCGAAAAATATTATCTATACTCGTTTGGATTTTTGAATATTTCCTAGATGTCAATGTGTGGAACTAACGCCTGGTTGGGTCTCACGTAGAGTAAGTATATAATTTTGTATTACAATATTGTAAACAAATATTATTTTAAAAGAGCAACTGTCTCGTTTCTCTCAAGCTCTTCTCAGCAGAACTGCTTTCTGAGCCAGTGGTAGCTTCCTCACAGACTTACATACTGACATCCAATTTAAATTTTAAATATAATGTTAGTTTTAAGGTATATATGTTATAGGCCTCTGTTTACATATTTAAGATCTTTTTGAAATAAACGGTTAAATTAAATTAAAAATTAAAATAAAATAAAAGTGATGATTCAAAAGTGCTTGTAAAAGCCTATTTGAATAAAGTTTATTTTGATTTGGATACAACTAATACGTTATTATTTTTTTCTGTAAATTAAATTATTAAAGTTAAAATAAAAAAAGAAATACGCTTTACAAACTTTATTTCAAGCATTATGAAACACACTCTTGGCTTTCTTCTCCCTCTTCCGTTTCTCCATTCTCTTCTTTTGCTTCTCTGTGCTTCTGAGAAGTTTAACGATCGCTTCTTCTTTTGCTTCTTCATCGTCGACTTCTATTGTGCTTCCTTCTGTGGATGGCTTTGATCTTTTTGCTTCCGTTTCTTGTGCTTCTGTTTCTAGTGCTTCGGAACGCTTCTTGCGTGATTTTTCACTGTAATAATAAAAAAAAATTGTAATAATTCTAAAATCAAATTCGATATAAATATAAAGGCCTGTTTTAATTAGTTTTATTGTGACCTTAATAAAAAATATATGTGAAATTTGTGGCAGTGATAGTCCAGTAGTAACGCGTTCGCTTGGGAAACCGAGTGAAGCGGAGTTCAAATCCCGGGTCTCGCACCTCTGATATTTTCCTGTGCGAATCGTTTCCAACATGATAACCACTTGTCTTACGGTGAAGGAAAACATCGTGAGGAAACCTGCATGTCTGAGAGAACCTAGTAAGCTGTCTGCAGACCTGCTATCCGCCCGCACTTGGGCAGCGTTCAACTGCCCGAGAGGAGGCCCACCCCCAGCAGTGGGACGTTAAAAAGGAATAAATTATTATTATCTATACTTATTATAAAAATAAGTCCCCCGGCCGCGTCTTTCTGTCCTCCTGTCTGTCCTCCTGTCTGTCTGTACGCGATAAACTCGAAAACTACTGAACGGATTTTTATACGGTTTTCAACAATAGAAAGAGTAATTCTTGAGGAAGGTTTAGGTATATAATTTATTATGCTTTTATGTAAATTAGCTGAAATACGGCGACAAATGTTGAAGAGGTCGCAAAAAATCTCGCCAAATGGGAACTTTCCACGCGAACGCCGCGTAAACTAGCAAAGATACAGTTAAGTAATGTACTAGAGAATTCAAAATCTATAAAAATGCTACAAAAAAGTCCGCGATAGCATATCTCTATCTCTTACGGTTGACTTACAATAACCACTTTTATGTTAACATTTTTAATTAAAAACATTACGTTATTTTCAAAGTTATTTTCTTTAGTTCGGTATTAATCCTTATCCAAATGAATATTTTAGTTAGCTTAGTCATTTAATGCAGATTAAAATTGCTCTTTACACTAAATCAATCAGATGAATAGTTTTTGAGATATCGTTGTTAGAAGTAATTAGTAGCGAAACATTTTTAATGCTTGGCGAGCATTGAGATGCCTACGGCGAGTCCATCCCCTCTGCCCCGCATCGCTCGACCGCCTGCTCAAGCTATATAAACCGGGCGATGTAGCGCGCGATCCTAGGATACTTTTTACCGCGGGAAAATATCTTATTTCTGAGGAAAAATACAAAAACTGCAATGTAAGAGTATACTAATATGTAACACCTAAGAATTTAGTTTTTGGTCATCTGAACGCGGGCGGAGCCGCGGGCAATGCTAGTATATACATATATATAAAAAGATGCTTATATTCTATTTTAATGTGACAAATTTTTTAAATTTAACTATATAAAATGTGAATATAAAATACATTTTGAGACAAAGTGAGTCGACCTAGTCTATAATAAAAATTGACAAATTACATAATCGATTTTTTAATTAAAAAAATATCGATATGGCCTGATCACCTTATTTAAGGGAGACCCACGCCCAGCAGTGGGACGAAAAGGAAAGGGCTGGATACATAATTATAAAATAATCATTATACAGGAACTGTATACTACAAAAACAGAAATATAATTTTATATATGTATGAATTGAACAAAACTAACCCCACAGTCTCCATATTATCAAATATTTCATCCATGTCATCTTCCTCCTTGACCTCCAGGTCTTCAACCTGGTCTTCTTCTTTCACCTGGTCCTCGTTCTGAAGGGGAGTGGATCTTGCTGTCTGTACTAGGATAGCTGCTAGCTTAGATGTTAGATATTGCTGTGAAAAAAAATGCAATAATTTCAATTTTTTTATTTTATTTTTTACCCCTTAATCTTTTTTTTAAATAAAAATAATCTGAATTACTCCTTATAACATCAGCTATCTGTCAGTGAAAGTCCCGTCAAAATCGGTCCAGCGGTTTTGCTGATTAGCCAGAACAAACAAAACAACAGACAGACAAAATTATTAAAAATAGTTTTTTTCATACCTTACCATACATACTTTTATATGCATTCATAAAAAGCTGTTATTTTGACATTACATACAGACACTCCAATTTTTTTTATCTGTATAGATGTAGTTTGTATTTTCTCATCTCTTTTATTTGAAGAAATAAGTTTTTAAACCAAAATAACATCAACAAAAACCTAAGAAAGTATTATGACGAATCCTTACTTCAGACCTACCTTATAGATCATCTCCTTAGTCTCGTAGCTATGAACCCTCACATGTCTGTCCAGGCTGTTGCTCACCACCAGACCCCCACTCCGACCCTCACCCCCACCCCTCACCAGACCAATGCTGGTGACAGCCCCCACAGCACCCTTATACCCCTTGTCCGGTTTCCCTCTCCGAAGATCCACTTGGTGGAGTTGGCCTCGACCAAAACCTACAAACACTTGCCTGGAAGAAAGAAAATTTTTATTGTTATTATTTAACCAGTCTAATATATAAATTTGAAAGATTGTGTGTGTGTATGTATTTGAATGTGTTTGTTCACAACACAACACAATCCCATGCAAATGCAAAAGTTCTCCTAAAATTTTCCACAATTAAATGTGTTTAGCTATTTATTCTACAATGTACATTGAACCTTAAATGCAATGCTTAAAATTATTTTCACAAAAAAAAAATTAACTCTTTCGGTGAGGCTTTCATTTTTTGGCGCATATTGCGTATCTAACACTGTTCGATGCTTGGGAGTAACACATAGGTTAGTAATAATATTTGACAAAAGGCTCTGTCTGTTTATGAAATTATTAATACAAAAAGACAAGTGATAACACCCGCAGGTGGGGTCGGGTTTTTACTTATCTGAGGAACCTAGCAAGTTGTCCAAACAAATGCTCACTATCCACCAGTCCACCCACACTTGGCCAGCGTGGTGGACAATGGCCTGATCTCCCTCGCATTGAAGGAAGGCTCACCCCCAGCAGTGGGAGGTTAAAAATGTCTTCATACAATATTTATGGCTTTTAAAGGGCAATAATTATATCTCACCTCTCTTCAAACCCTGGCACGATGCAGGTGGCGGCCATCTTCTCAAACTCCACATTACACACTGGCCGTCTCTGAGCCCTAGTGTCATATAACCTGTAATATTTGAATGAACACATAATGAAAATCTTTATTCAAATATGAATCTACACAGATAAATAAAATTTAAGTGTCTGTTTGTAATGTCAAAATAACAGCTTTTTAGTAAATGCATATGAAATTATAATATTGATATTTAATTTTTTTGAGAGGAATCCTAATTCTTTTTCTAAAAGAAAAGTAGCCAAGTTACTACTTATAACATCGGCTATCTGCCATGAAAGTCACGTCAAAATCGGTCCAATTTAAGGAAAGAATATAATATTATATATCATTTGTCAGACTAACACAACGGTTACAATGGCAACAAACGTTCGCCTCGCCCGATCACACTTTTCGTAACGCTCTCATCACGTATTCACCAGCTTACTCCCCAAGTCAAGCGTGCATAAAGAAGTTTTACTTCAATAACTATAATTTTCATATATTCACCTAACATATCCATATCTCGAACACACAGCCAGTACGTCCTGGCTTAAAAACGCCAGGTCTGAAACCCACACCGGTCTTCTTAGCTGCAACCAGTCGTGTGGAAGGTTCTTAGCAGTAAATATAGACTCTGGTTCACCAATCTTCCATACTTTCAGTTCGTTTTCTTCACCACCTTAAAGTAATCAAAATTGCATTAAAATCAATTTACAGTTAATATACAATAAAAAAAGAAAAAAAAAAAGGATATTTTATACTAGCTACTGATATATACTAGGTTGATTCCCCATACAAACTTTCATCCCCATTTTGACCCTCTTAAGGGATGATTTCCGAGATAAAAACTTTCCGATGTCCTTCCTAAGATCTCAAACTATCTTCTTACTAAATTTCATCTAAATCGGTCCAGTAGTTTCAGAGCTTATTCGGTACAAACAAACAAACAAAAAATCTTTCCTATTTATAATATTGGTATAGATTTTATGGTAAATACTTATTTTCTTCTTAGACTGTGAATTAATATTTTATTTTTTTTATAAATTATAACATTAAAAATAACTATTCAAAATAGCACACCAGTAGCAAACAATGTAGAATCCTCTTCAAACACTTTCATTTTATCCAACTTGGCTCCCGTATTAACTACAAAATTCTCCTTCTTCGACCAGACTTGAACAACACCGCTAGACAACGCTGCTATTAGTCTTCTCTTGTACTTGCCGAGACCAACTATATCTCCTTCGCCAAAATCTGCTGTATATGTTTTAGTGAAGCCCTGTAGAGTATTGTACACTTGGACCTGTAATAATTTTTAATGAATAACATAACTTTTTACTCTTGCTTGAGGGTTTCTAGTACAGATCTTTTAGAGATAAATAATGCTTTGTACACAAGGCATTTGTTTTCTATTTTTATGTGTTTTTTTTTATGAGACATCTATAGATAATTATAAATAAAAGTTGAAGTGTCTGTTTGTAATGTTAAAGTAACAGTTTTTTACTAAATGCATATGAAAGCATACACAGTACTTATAAGAAAACACAGTTTTTTTAATTTTGTCAGTCTATTTGTTCCAGCTAATGTCCAAACCACCTGGACTGATTTTGACCGGACTTTCACGAGCAGATGCAGCTGACATTATAAGAATTTTATGTTAGAAAAAGAATTGAGGTTTGACTCGAAAAATTTAAAATATGCCTAGGGACATACCCAAGTGAAGCGAAGGTAAGTTGCTAGTATAAAGAATATAATACCTGTTGATTTTTTCTACCAATTAGGATTTCTGTTTGTTCTCCATTACTCCATACCATTGAAGTTATAGCATCTTCCTTTTGTAAACTCTTTATATCTACTAAATTTTCTATACATTTTTTTGTATTTTTTGTGTTGTCTGTGTGATATTTTATATCTGGAATTTTTTTGTTAAAGTTTTAGTATGATAGCAATTTTAACCTTCACGCAGTAACAATATTTAGGTTTAAAAGTTTTCAAACTAATAAGTTCTTAAACCAACTAAGTATTTCATATTTACGTTAGCTTTGACAATAATAAGAATTATTGCTTTAAATCGACTAGGTGCAATAGATTTGTTAATAAAACATCTTAGGCAATAATAATAAATAAACAAAAACAACATGCTAAAAAATACATAGGTAATTGAACTTACGCTTAAATGAACCTATTTTACTTGCTACAAATAAATCAATTTCTCTTTTCTCTGAGACAACCATTTTTTTAAATATCACATAATCATCAAATCTATATTTTTTAAAGCTCTAACATTCACTTTATAATTTAAAAATAAAATGCGCTGAATGAACACGTGAAATTAAACGTCTAATTTAAACTGTCAACTGTCAACGTGACAAGAAAAAGCAATGACAACTGATACTTTTTGACGTTCCAAATATATGATCTGCTTGTGATTTTTTTTTAATATTCTTCTGCTTTTATATTTCATTATTTACTTAATATTATTGTATAGTTTATCAACAATCCTATAAGATATTAAAATTAATTGTTTCAATTAAAATGTGCGTAGAAAGGATTTTTTTACGTTCCACTTTACGCATTATGTTGCTCCTACGCTCATTCTCCACAAGGAAAAGAAAATTTTTCTATTTTCATCAACTTTATAATATCTAAAATTTTTATCTCTTCCGTGACCATGTGCGCTGTGAAGCATTCGAAACTTCGGGAACCAAAAATCTAAATAAATCTGCGAAAAAATTTGAAAAGATACTTTTATTTAAAAAGATGTCTTTGTAGAACCATGAATTTCGCTATCACGGTGAGAAGATAATATATATGAGGTCAGTGTGGTGCGAAGTTCCGCGCTGCCCATGAATTAAGATCCGGCTGCAAGATTGCTACGTTCATCGAGTATTTAATCGAAATCATTATTTTATATACAATAATAAAAGGGACAATATGTTTTGACCGGTGTGCCTATTAAAATGTACCCGCTAGTGTGTTTATTTAAATTAATAATAATTGACTTTTCGGAACAAAATCGATGCACTTGTTATTAAAATAAATTATACTCCACCTCACAGAAATATACGTAGAAATCTTGTAAAGTGATAGCTGCCGTTGCGCACTTGGCCGCGACCTCTTCGCAGCCAGGTGTAAGCGGGTCATATTTTGTTACATTTATACGTTCATGGCGTATATTCATTATTAAATTATATATCAAATTAAAGCTATTTTTTTACTGTACCTGATAAACTACCTCTGCCTATGTAAAAGTGCCCGCAAATAGGGGTTGCCAGTCATTAAAGATTTTTTTGTTACATTTATACGTTCATGGCGTATATTCATCATTTATATATCAAATTAAACCTATTTTTATTCTGTGCATGATACAATACCTCTACCTATGTGAAAGTGGCCGCAAAGGAAAGGAAAGATGGAAAGAATATATATAGTATTATAATTTTTAAATAAACGATATTAAGATTTCTTACATATAATACATTATATATAACAGAGAATACATTTTCACTTTTAATTTAAATTAATAAACGTGCGCACAATACTCCGTGCACGTAGCGTCGATACGCCCTCAAACACATACCCCTACCTCCCTAGCCGATACTTAAGTACCGAATAAAAAAAGTTATCCAAAAAATCAACATGTATTTTATTAATTAATAGCGACTCACCTTCGGTTCGCTCTGGTTCACCCCCAGGTACGTTTTAAGGGTTAGTATGGAATACAAAGACTATAATATATATATATTGTATATACATACATAGGTACAAAATAAACAGTTTAGAATTTTTCGATTTTTCAGCTGTTTTTTTTTCCCCTCCTATTTTTTTATACTCAAAACACCCCTAACACACCCCCAACAAACAAACAAAAAATCTATTCAAATCGGCAGTGCCGGACCTTAGCGCCGCTCCTGGGCATAGTAAAAAATCTCGCCCGATTATCGAAATTTTCCATAAAATGAATAAAGTTTCGATAAAGCTTATTTTTTTTAAATTACTCATAATTTTTTATTTATCAATTTTTCCAAAAATGAACAAGTTTTTTTTTTTAATTATTCTTTTTTTTTTTGGAAAGTAAATAAAGCATTTTTGATAACGCGATAATTTTTTTTGTAACCTCCAAATTTTGCTGCCCCTAAAAATTTACCGCCCTGAGCATTAGCCCCGAGTAAACCTAGTTTAAATCCAGCGCTGCAAATCGGTCCAGCCGATTTCGAGTTTTAGCGACACTAACGAACGGCAATTAGTTTTTTATATATAGATAATAGTTTCCATACTTTTAATAGTGATTATTTAATTTTTGTGATTAGAATATTTTATAGTTATTCTAATAGAGCTACCTCCGAGCCATGGTCCACACAATATAAAAAATGCCTCGTATACCGATTAGATAGATACGGACGAAATAAATATATCCGAAAGAGAAAAATGACTTTAATTTAGAATCTTTAACCCGATTCAAAATTACCTTGAAACTAATTATTTCCAACATATTTTCGTACCAATTTCACTGGAACACAGCCAAATTTAATAGAAATAATAAAATTTGTTTCAAAGAAAGTAGTTCTTTTTTATTTTGACATAGAATCGAGAGAAAAAAACTATCAAAAAAATTAAAAAAAAAAGAGAAAGCATGGACACAACGTGTACTCTCTCTTTCTGTCACTCATACTCTGGTGGAATAAGAAAACTATTTTTTGAATACAACACACATTTAATTATACGTAATTATTTCATTTTTAATTACTGTCATCTATACATATAATAAAATTGTAACTAAGCCGAATCTGTAATTTAAATATTTTTTGGAAAATCTTATTGAAATAGACATTATTATCGATACAGAGTCCGAATCTATAATTTAGAATTTTTGTCTGTCTGTCTGTTACCGCATCACGAGAAAATCACTGGACAGATCATGATGAAATTTGGTATGATGATAGCTGGTCATCCGGGTCAACATATAGGATACTTTTTACTGCGGGAAAATATCTCATCTCTGAGAAATCTATACTAAACGTTAATACGTAAGTATCCCTACTTACGAACCCGAGCGGAGCGAGGGTGAGTCGCTAGTTCAATATATAAATTAACACTATTACAACTTTATTTTGTTATATGTAAGTATTTAGTATATAATATAGCGCTAGTACAAGGGGTGTGGTATGAATATAGGTTACTAATAGAAAAAACCTTTTTTATACTATCCTTTATTAATGCAATTACATTTTTAATATTAAGTTTTCACAGAAAATATAATTAATTATTGGTAACTGATAAAACTCGTGCACGTAAATAGTTGTTTATAGTTTTATTTCTTTAATATTCGTCGTGGAAAGGGTAGTCTGGATGGTGAACGCTGAAAAATAAAAATTATAATATAGAAAATCTGTTCCCTATTTAGGTTCTGGGATATTTATAACACCTTCAAGGGACAATATTGTATTAAATATAATAATTTAAATTTTTTTATCTACGAGTAGTTACGGCAGAAATGTAGGGAAAAGCTTGTAAATTATGAATTAAGAGAATGAAATGAAATAAATTTAATGTGCAGACGCCTGTGCTAATAGTTTTTTTTTTTTAATTAAAATAATAATAATAAATATGTCGGGACATTCATACACAGCACCATCTAGTTCCATGGTAAGCTATGAGGCTTGTGTTATGGATACCAGATAGTTGATACACTACACATATATAACTTTAAATACATACATATTATAAACATAAACACCCATGACTGGAGTACAAACATTCGTGCTCATCACACAAATGAATGCCCCCAGCGGGACTCGAACCCGAGACCGCTGGTACAATAAGTAGGGTCACTACAAACTGAGCCAAACGTGTCGTCATTATTATATTAATAGTACAAACTAATAAATATTACTATGTTGTAAAATCGGATATGTAACTATTATTTTCTCAAGAGTTCCCAATATTTGGGCACTGTTAAGAGAGCCTTGATCACGACACCCGGGAATATCCGTATTAAGCAAAATTTTGTCCTACCTACATATTCTGTTCTCTTTGGGTGTAGATACAATAAAGAGTTTATTATTATTATTAAGTAAGTGCTAAACATGATAAATATGCCGTTTTCCATCATATATATATCAATATTGCCAGTAACCATAAAAATTTCAGATCAAATATTGGGGAATGATAAAGAAAAACAAAATTTGCACATTTATACTCACTCTCCCATAGAACAGACCCTGCCGTTGCATTCAAAGCTGGAGATCAGCTTAATATCTTCAGGGGTTAGCTGGAAATCGAACACCTGGAAGTTCTGCTCGATACGGCTCTTTGTGACAGATTTAGGAGTCACAATAAGGCCGCGGTCGATGGCGTATCTATTGGTAAAGAAAAACGTAATGTTTTATTTAGTTTAATTTTCAATAGAGTGAAAAAATATAATAGAAATAGTTATTATACTAGCATTGCCCGCGGCTCCACCCGCGTTCAAATGACCAAAAACCAAATTCTTAGGTTTTACATATTAGTATATTGCAGTTTTTGTGTTTTTTCTCAGAAATGAGACATTTTCCTGCGGTAAAAAGTATCCTATGTTGACCCGGATAATCAGCTATTAATATACCAAATTTCATCAAAATCCCTCCAGCGGTTTTTCTGTGATGCGGTAACAGACAGACAGACAAAAAATCTAAAAACTATAGATTTGGCCTCTGTATCGACAATAATGTCTATTTCAATAAGATTTTCTAAAATATATTTAATGTACAGATTCGGCTTAGTTACAATTTTATTATATGTATAGATAATGTAACTAACTAAATGAAAATGGATATCATTGACTAGAAGCTATAAAATCAAATTGATTCTAATAAATAACAAAAAAATTAAACAAAAACATTTGCTTATAACGGTGCATATTTTTAGCAGTGAAATGTCTGTTTTAATAAAAAACTAACTAAACTTAGCCCGACCCGGGACTCGAACCTAGGACATCCGATGCAGCCGCAGATGCTAGCCACTAAGTATACTACCGAGGCAGGCCCTTTGATATTGCTCAATCTACACTACTATTATAAAGAGGAACGATTTGTATTTTTGTATGTTTGTAACGAATAAACTCAAAAATTACTGGACCGATTTAGATGAAATTTGGTAAGAAGATAGTTTGAGACCCTGGGAAGGACTTAGCATATTTTTTATTCCAGAAATCATCCCTTAAGGGATTGATAATGGGGATGAAAGTTTGTATAGGAAATCAACCAAGGGAGGAACCGAGGGTGAGTCGCTAGTAATTAATCTTTATCTACCTCAATTACCTTTTCCTAAGCTTCATAATAACAGCAATATAAAAGATTACAAATTATTATAATACTTGATATTTTATCGCGTTTTTAATTATTTATTTATAAGTAGATAGATGCAGGTGTCGTGTTCTCAGAAAATGCTATGTAAGTAATCTATACATATAATAATTATAAATACGCGTGAAACACTTAATCGAGTAATCATACGCCAAAATGCCTTACGTCATTTTGGAAAAGAGCTGATACTCTTACACTGCTGGACCGATATTAACCAAACATAGCTAAGAACCACCGCAAGGAAACTGGCTTTCAAATAAACAAAACCGCATCGATATCGGTCCATCCGTTTGAGAGCTATGATGCCACAGATAGCCCTCTTTTTGCGTCGAGGGTTAATAAAACAGCAACTTTGCGAAATCTGTTCACAATATGTTACACTAAATTTGACATTAAAATTTTAACGTATTGTGTACAGAATATAGAGAACAAAATAATCATTAGTAAATTTTTCGTCTGTATGTTTGTGTGTTCGCGTTTCACGTAAAAAGTACTGGACAGATTTTGACTAAATTTTGTGTGAATTGATAACTTATCACTCGGGTTAACGTTTAGGATATTTTTACTACATACAAATCTGTTATTCCCACGGGAAAACACAATAACTGATTCTATTAAATTCTTGGAAATTTGCAAAATCTTGCAAAATCGAGAACAGTAGCGTAATCGATTCAATCGATTAATCGAATCGAGTCAGCATCGAGTAACTACTTATGACAAGAAAAAAGAATGTTGGTCCTCTATGTGTCCCAAAATCATTCAACCTGGGGACGAAACCGCGCGGAGTGAGAGTAATTCGCTAGTATATAAATTTGAAAATGGACCCAGTGATGCAATAAACAGCCATGTGCGTAAAAGTACCAACAGAGTTATAAGCATTTTTCTGTCGATAGTTGCACTTGGGTTATGTTTTGTTTTTCTGGTTATTTTAAAATTGAACAACATTTATATAAGTATTGTTTATTTTTTATAATAAAATGCTTGGTACTTTTACGCACATGGCTGTTTTTTGCATAACTGGGTCCGAATATTGTATTTTTTACTACTTTTTGTTTATTTGAATGCGCTAATCTCTCGAACCAGTACAATAAACCAAAGCAGTTGTATTCTATTGCCTAGACTTCAAAAATTGGAAGTGCTTAATTGAAATTGCAACACTAACCTTATTAAAATCTGTGCAGTACTCTTGCTGTATCTATCAGCGATGGCCTTCAGTCTTGGATCTTCCAGGAGTTGGGGCTCGCCAGGTTTAGCCCAGGGTCTGTCAGGGGAACCGAGAGGAGAGTACGCGGAGACAGTTATTCCCAGAGATTTGCAGTAATTGATCAGCTTTTCTTGGTTGAGATAAGGGTGGACTTCGATCTGTATTGGAAGAATTTTAGGCCTGACTCAAATCATGTCAAAATATACTTTATAAGCGACTCACCCTCGCTTCGCTAGGGTTCGTCCCTAGGTTGATTCCCCATACAAATTTTTATTTCCATTTTCACCCCCTTAAAGAATAATTTCCGGGATGAAACTATCCTATAATCGAATATGCGAGATGGTGCTAGTAAATAAGCAAGCAATCTACTGTCTATGCCTGAAAGAATCTAGCAAGTTTTCGAAAGACATGTGCAGTTTTCCAACTCTCACTTGACCAGCGTGGTAGACTATGGCCTGATCCCTCTCGTATTGAAGGGAGGCCCACACCCAGTAGTGGGACATTAAAAAGGGATGAACAGACACACACACATTACTATCTAGCTAACAGTAGTTACCTGTAACGAAGCTGGTTTTATTCTAGAGTTTTCCATCACTCTGTCGATTTGGCGTTTGTTGAAGTTGGAGAGGCCGATGCTCTTCACCAGACCCTTGTCTACCAGGTTCTCCATCGCCTTCCACGTGTCGACGTAGTCCACTGGCGAGGGAGCCGCCTTGCCTTGCTCGTCTACTGGGAAGAGTACGTCTTCTTCCTGCATTAATATGGAGAATTTTATCCATGTTTTTTCTTCTACTTAATTACTAGCAATTTATGTTATATAGCGAATACTAGCATTGCCCGCGGCTCCGCCCGCGTTGATATGACCAAAAACCAAATTCTTAGGTTTTACATATTAGTATACTCTTACAATGCAGTTTTTGTATTTTTTCTCTGAAATGAGGTATTTTCCCGTGGTAAAAAGTATCCTATATTTTGCCCCGGATAACCAGCTATCATCATACCAAATTTCATCAAAATCTGTTCAGTGATTTTCTCGTGATGCGGTAAAAGACAGAGAGACCCTCAAGACGATTGGAATAATTATTTTTGAGTGAAGTCAGTATACATTTTTGTTAAAAAAACATTATTTTAATACTTTATTTTAAACTTATCTATACCTTATAGGCCTGAGGCCAGTGTATCAGGTACAGGTCCAGGTACTCCAAGCCAAGGTCCTGAAGAGTTGTCTTCACCGAGCCCTCGACCAGGTCCGGGCGGTGGAAGGTGCACCACAGTTTGGATGTGATGAATATATCTTCTCTGTAAAAACATAATAATATAAGAAATGCTTATCAGTTTCAGTGAATGATTTTATCAAACGAACTAGCGATTTAGCCTTGCTTTGCTTGGATACTTCCCTATATAATATATCTAACAGCGGCCTATGTGTTACTCCAGGTCATAGTCTGTGGACTGTGTTTTCATCCACGATCGTGTTTAGTGTAAATCATTCTTAACATCGGCAACTAAAAGGCAAATCTATACTAATATTATGAAGAGGTAAAGTTTGTGAGTTTCTGAGGTTGTAGGGGGTAATCTGTGAATCTACTGAATCGATTTCGTTGAAATTTGGTAAGGAGATAGTTTGAGACCCTGGGAAGGACATAGGATACTTTTTATCCCGGAAATCATACCTTAAGGAGGTTAAAATGGGGATGAAAGTTTGTATGGGGAATCAACCATAATAGTATCTATAATATATAAATAGAAAGCCAAAACAGTTCAGTACCCTTTTCTCCTCTGTTTGTCAGTTTGTTTGTTGTCAATAAAAAAATTTTGAAACAGTTTTTATATATATATATATATATATATATATATATATATAAACATATATTTATTTATATTTAACAATGGTGGTTATGGTGGAATTTCGACCACTGGACGAATACTAGTTGAATGCAAGTACCATGGACATAGATTCGTTTCCAGTACAAACCAAAACACCCTTCAGTTTATTTAAAAGGCCTTTTCCGCTTTATGATACCTACATAGTTAATTTACTTCAAGGCTATTGAAATTGGTAAAACTCGCGCTACCTGATAAGTTATAGATCAATGATAACGTTAAACTTTATAGCTTTAGTAGGCTGTAAAAATCGTCTCATTAAAAATTCATCTCGTATTCGCATATAATCTATCCATACCTATTACCATGTACATACTAGCTGCCTCGGTGGTCTAGTGGTTAGTATGTAAGACCGTAGACCCGGAGGTCCTGAGTTCGAGTCCTGGGTCGGGCCAAATTATTGAGTATTTCTGTCAAGAAATTCAAAGTAACAGCCCGGAGTTGGGAAGCTACACCCCCGTGCCTCGGAGAGCACGTAAAGCCGTCCCACCGGAGTATGAGAGTGACAGGAATAGAGAGTACACCTGTGTCTGTGCGTACACTTGTGCACTATAATATATATCTCCTGCGCAATGGCATGATTTAGAAACAGTCAGCCTCATATGCGAATAATTTTCAGCATATTAATAACTTACGGTGAAGAAAGATATCGCGAGGAAACCTGCATGATAGAACCTAGCGAGTTTTCAAACCTTGGCCAGCGTGATGGGCTATGACCTGATTGATCTCGTATTGGGAAGCCCTCTCCCAGCAGTGGGACGTTAAAATGTGCTAGATGAGAGGAGACTGTGGAAAAACAATCCAATTATTAAGTTTCTTACCGTTTAATAACTCCTTCTTCAAATTTAGCTTTCAGAGCTGCCCCGACTTCCTTCTCATTTCCGTAAATGAGTGCGCAGTCAATATGTCTGTAACCGAGGTCGATGGCGTCCTTCACTGCTTGTGTCACTTCACCGGGCTTGGACTGAGAGAAAAATTGTTTATGAACATTTCTTTAAATAAAACTATCTTTTCGGATTTTTTAGCGGATTTATTTTGATTTTTGGTTCCCGACGTTTCGAATGCTTTACAGCAATCATGGTCACGGGAGAGACTGAGGTGTTAGATGTCTCGAAGGTATAGTTGTTACAGACAGCCTATCCACACTCTAAGAAAGTATTAACCTTTAGGTATAGCACTGTCGCATAATGGAGAGTGTGTAACGTCACTACATCAAAATAATAATTAAAAAGACACGTCTGGAGCATGCTTTATGTGTCCAAAGACAGTTGTCAAAACATTTCGAGAGAGACGTAGAAATTACTTGAATTTAGACAAGAACAGTTAACTATAAATTGCCGTGTGTAAGAGTGAGAGAGGAACAAAACATACCAAAATGCAAACATTTTTAATTATTGATAACTCTAAAATGGTAATTATATTTTTATTATCATATTATTGAAGTTACAATAATTATTAAGGAAATTATTTTTCTATAACAATAATCCATTGGTTGTAAGCCTTTTTTAGGAAAACCCTTTGTTTTTAAAATCTTTGCAATTGGAAAAAAAATTGGAAAGTCCCAAAAAGACAGGTCCACAATGATCGTTCATGATTTTTTATTATTATTTTAGGCAAGAATACATAAACCATATTATTAAAGAAGAGGATAAAATGTGCCCTATTAATGATCTGATGGATAGTGTGTGTGATTCTTTTATAATCCGAGTGGATGATGACGACGACAATGATGATATAAGTAATAATAATTACAGGATATTCTGTTTTTTTCATTTAACCACTAAACATTTACATTGTAGTTAGTGTGCATTGATTGCACAAAACAAAGACTATTTACAATGTCATACAATATATAGTTTACTTTATCTTATTCTGTTTCATATTTTTTTGTTATTTTATATACAATAAAAAAATACAAAGCAGAAAAGGTTTATGATATCTGAACTGTCAAAGAATGACAGCTGTCATATTTCCGTGGAATTAAAAATCTGACTTTAAATCGCTAGTCTTATATACTAATATTTGACGACACATTTGGCTCAGTTTGTAGTGACCCTACTTTCTGTGCCAGCTGTCGCGGGTTCGAATCCCGCTGGGGGCTTTCATTTGTGTGTTGAGCACGAATGTTTGTACTCCAGTCATGGTTGTTTATATTTATAATATGTATGTATTTAAAGTTATATATGTGTAGTGTATCAACTATCTGGTATGAATAACACAAGCCTCGTAGCTCACCATGGAACTAGATGGTGCTGTGTGTTAATGTCACAACATATTTATTTATTTAAATGTGAAAATTTGTGAGTATGTATGGGTGTTTGTTACTCTTTTACGCCAGAACGGCTGAACGGATCTGGATGTTTGGCACAGAGATAGATTATAGTCTGGAATAACACTTTTAATCCCGGAAAAAATGTACGGTGCCTGTGGGATAGTTTTGTTTTTCTAGAGGCGAACTCGATCGAAGCGAGAGTGAGCCGCTAGTAATCATACAAAAAAAAACTAGTGGTATTGAGTTATATAAATGATAAAAGATTGCATCTAACACTAAGATGACACAATATGACAAATCTAATCTATATATATAAAAGAAAGTCGTGTTAGTTACACTATTTATAACTCCAGAACGGCTGAACTGATTTGGCTGAAAATTGGCGGGGAGGAAGCTTAGAACCCAGAGACGGATATAGGATAGTTTTTATCCCGTTCGACTGCGTTCCCGTGTGATATTGTTTGTCTGTTTGTCTGTTTGTACGGGCTAATCTCCGAATCTATTGGACCGATTTATATGAAATTTTGCATGGTGGTTATATCCCCGGACAACGTCTTAGATATTTTTTATCCCGGAAAATATAATGGTTCCCGTGGGATAGTTAAAAAACTATTATAACTTATACAACTTATGCACCTAATTTAGTAAAATTTAACATTCTGATACCTTATATTGCCGGTCAAACAACCGGTTACTTTTCATCCGGGAAAAATGAACGGTTCCCGTGGGAACTAATAGATTTTTATTAGTGTTTTTCTAGAGGCGAACCCGAGCGAAGCGAGGGTGAGCCGCTAGTTCTTTTATAAAATGTATAAACGATTCTGGTGGTACTTTTAGTCCTCTATAAAAGGTACAACTTTTATTACATAATACATGCTTTAAAATGATAAAATCCAATGCAATATAGAATCAATCTAATGCGATTTAGCCATTATAGTATATGACGGGATGGCCAATAAAACGTCGTTATTCTCGTAATTAATGTATATATTGTACTGCTTTCCACCAAATATGAAGCAAAACTAAACTAAATATTCTAACAAAGTTCATAACGAAAAGTAGGGTTGACCAACTTTTTAAAATATTGACAAGTGTCAACTGACATTCAGAAAATACATTTTATAATCACAGAGTATAAATTCGGTATATAAATTAGTAATCCTAACATATAGTATTATATGATCTGTGTTATTACCAAAGGCGCGGGTACAGTATATACACTCGAGAAGCGCGTGGCAAGTGGCAACCATGACCCAACTGGAATTTTAATCGTCCGGGCCACAGACAATACATCCTACTTTTAATAATAATGAATTGTCGGTGGCCCGGGCGAAGGCCAGTCGTAGCTCGTTGGTACGTTATCGCGTGACCTTAAACTAGCGATGGAGGCCTGAATAGGGTCCGAGATGTGTGCTGCTAAAGTCAGAATATCATTTTAAAATTGAAAACATACGTGACGTTGAATAAAAAACATATTGTGAAGATGCGTCTGGATCAAATGTTTGTTACCTTATTATTTACTAGCATTGCCCGCGGCTCCGCCCGCGTTCAGATGACCAAAAAACAAATTCTTAGGTTTTACATATTTAGTATACTCTTACATTGCAGTTTTTGTATTTTTTCTCAGAAATTAGATATTTTCCCGCGTGAAAAAGTATCCTATATGTTGACCCGGATGACCAGCTATCATCATACCAAATTTCATCAAAATCTGTCCAGTGATTTTCTCGTGATGCGGTGACAGACAGACAGACAAAAATTCTAAAAAACTATAGATTCGGCCTCTGTATCGATGGTAATGTCTATTTCAATAAGATTTTTGAAAAAATATCTAATGTACAGATTCGACTTAGTTACAATTTTATTATATGTATTATATTAAATAATCGCTTATGTAGATACATGTGAATATGTATGTGTATGTATATGTGTGTATGTGAGTATATATATTTCATTTAGATCTTTTTTAACCTGTTTATAATATATTTAGCTGTTATTATTTTTATAAACTTATTTTTTTTTTGTAAGCTGTAATATTGTGAATCTTTGTTACTTTTTTGATATTCTAAATCTTGTTTTGCCTTTAGAATGTACTACTTTTTAAATGTCGTTATCACCTATAGTTAAGGTACTACTCTATATATGTTTTATTTTCCATGTATGTTATAATGTGATTAGTTTGTACTTTGTTGGTGGTCTAATAAATAAAATAAATAAATAAATATGAATCCATATAGAAATGTTTCTACAGATGAATAATTAGATGTACGATTCGATTGGCCAGTTGAACGACCCGAGCGATTACCGTATGAGAATCAGAACCGGTGGAAACTAGATGGAGTGTGCGTGTGACCTTAACCGAGACCACATTCATTACATAACGTATGTGACACTGACCGTCTTATCTACATTTTTTTCTAAATAATATTTATTATATACGTCATATACCTACTTTAAAAAATGTTAGTTTGAATTATAACGAAACTAGCAGAACCCGCAGCTTCGCTCGCGCTAGAACTACAAAAAAATCTCTAAATAGGTAGGCTTCATACACACTTTCATTCCCTATTTAACCTCCTTATAGGATGAATTTCAAAAAATGCTAAAACACGTATTTATTTAATTTTATTCAAGAGCTTTAATTTTCATTTTCATTTAAAACGTGCCTAAGGACGAACCCGAGCGAAGCAAGGGTGAGTCGCTAGTTGGAAATACTTTAAAGAAACTATTAAGAAGAAAATTGAATTGTACATCTATACTACATATTATAAATGTAAAAAATTTTCAGTAAGGATGTATGGATGTTTGTTACTCTTCCACGCAAAAACTACTGAATGGATTTTAATGAAACTTTTCAATAATATAGCTCATACTTCAGAATAACACATAGCTTACTTTTTATATCGGAAAAATGTACGGTTCCCGTGGTTTGTTTTTGTTTTTCTTTTAAGAGGCCGTATACAAAATCAAAACGAGCAAAATTAGGCATTTGACGTGCACACAAACACGCGCAGAAGCGCGTTGTCGCGTGCGTGCGTAAGTAGACAAGGGCTGAAGCCTTTGAAAATGGTAAAAAGTAAAAAAATATATAGTACAATGAAACACATTGGAAAAGCAAGAGAATATAACAAAAATGAAAGGAAAAATTAAAATTTACGGGCGATCTGAGGTCGGGAAGTGGGAGGGGGTGAGTTTTTAAGGGTAAAGTCCGACGTTGCCGTTTAACGATTAAACCGTTTTGATCCTTTAATATTTTTTACATGTTTTTAACTCACACTCTCACGGTTTTGTAAAATGTGACCCAATTCTTGTAGCCAAACCATATCGGCGAATTCCCTACAATGTATAGCTTAGTTCACTGCCAATGAACACTTCAATATTACTATAGTAGGGGAGCCCAAAAGGGGATTTTCTGTAGTTACTCGAGCGCGGCAGATTAATATAAAAGAGGTTACCTTGCACTCTATTGAGTACTTTCACCACAATATAAGTCTTCTATATAAAGGGGCGCGTCTAGGGAAGCCGATTAAAATATTTAAAAAATGTTTTGATAAGGTAGAAATACTTGAAACCGTCAGATTAAGGTGTGGTAGGCTAGTCACATCCTGAAAAGTGTCCAATTCAATAATCTGCCGATTTGCACAAGCCTAAGAGGCAAAAATCATCATAAACTTTATAGTCGATTTTAAGAG